CTTAGAAGGTATTACAGGTGTAAATCTTTATGTTCTTCGATTGGGAACAATTTCTTAAATATGACACCAAAAGCACAAGAAACAATAGAACAAAATGAATAAATTAGATCTTATCAAAATTAAGTTTTACACATCAACGATACTATCAAGAAAGTAAAATGACAATGGGAGAATGTATTTGTAAATCATATATCTGATAAGAGTCTAGTATCCAGAACATAAGGAGCTCTGGTGGAACAGTGTGTAAGACATTTGAATGCTAACCAGAAGGTTGGCGGTTCAAAACCACCAGCCATTCTGTGCAAGGAAGACTAGGCAATCTACTAGGTGGTACAGATCTACCGCCTCAGAAACCCAAAGGGGGTCGCTATGAGTTGGAATTGACTCAATGGCAGTGAGTTTGGTTTGGTTTTAGTTTATCCAGAATATATAAAGAACTCTCACAGCTCAACAACAAAAAGACCAAAAAAAAAAAATTATTTTTTTCCCACAAAGGGCAAAAAACTTGAATAGACATTCTTCTCCAAAGAAGACATATAAATGGACAAAAAGCACATGAAAAGATGCCCATCATCACTGGTTTGGTTGTCAGGTGCTGTTGAGTCAGTTTCGACTCTTGGCGCCCTCATGCAGACAGAACGAGACGATGCCGGGTCCTGCACATCTTCACAGTCGTTCCTACGCTTGAGCCCACTGTTGTGGTGACTGTCAATCATCTCGTTAAGGGTCCTCCTCTTCTCACTGACCCTCTACTTTATCAAGCATGATGTCCTCCAGGGACTGGTCTCTCCTGAGAACATGTCCAAAGTCCAAGAGGTGAAGACTCACCATCCTCACTTCTAAGGAGCATTCCGGCTGTACTTCCTCCACGGCACATTGTTTGCTCCTCCAGCAGTGCTATTCCTCACCAACTATTCTTCACCAACACAATTCAAACGCATCAATTCTGTGGTCTTCCTTATTCATTATCCAGCTTTTATGTGCATATGAAGCTATTGAACAGATCACGATTTGTTGTGATTAATTTTTGTTGGTCAATATTTTATGTGCATATGAAGCTATTGGGTCAGGCACATGGGTTGGGTTAGTCTTCAAAGTGGCATCTTTGCTCTTTAACACTTTAAAGAGGTCTCTTGCAGATGTGTCCAGGACCGTATGGCTTTTGACTTCTTGACTGCTGCTTCCATCATCAATTATGGATCCAATAAAACGAAATCCTTGACAACTTCAATCTTTTCTCCATTTATCATGATGTTGCTTATATCATGATGTTGCTTATTGATCCAGTTAGGAGGATTTTTGCTTTCTTTACGTTGAGGTGCCATCCATACCGAAGGCTCATCAACATTAGAGAAATGTAAATCACTGTGCACTTCTCTAAGCACTTTGCATAACTAATGACGATGAGCATCTTTTCATGTGTTTGTTGTCCATTTGTATGTCTTCTCTGGACAACAATCAGATGCCACTTCCCATCCATTAGGGGGGCTATTATCAAAATGACAGAAACTAACAAGTGTCAGGGAAGAGGTGGAGAAATCCGAACTTTTGTGGATTGCTGGTGGGAATGTGAAAGGGTGCAGCCACTGTGGAAAACAGTCTGGCAGGTCCTCAAAAAGTTAAACATAAAGTTACCACAGGACCCAGCAATTCCACTCCTAGGTATGAGCTCAAGAGAATTGAAAACATATTTGAACAAAACAAAAAGTTGCACCCAAATCTTCATAGAAGCATTATTCGTAATTACCAATAAGTATAAACAACCCAAATCTCCATCAACTGGTGACTAGGTAAGCAAATAGCGGTTTATACATACAATGGAGTATTACTTAATCATAAAAAAAAAATGAAGTTCCAATACATGCTACAATGCGGATGAACCTTAAAAACATGATACTATGTGAAAAATGCCAGACCCAGAAGGCCCCACATTGATTCATTCCATTTATACTAAATGTCCAAAACAGGTAAATCCAGCAACAGAGAGTAGATTAGTGGTAGCCAGGAGGGGATAAGGGTGGGGGGATGAGGAGTGACTACTTAATGAGTATGGGATTTTTTTTTTTTTTTATTGTGATTTGGGTGAAAGTTTACAGAGCAAATTCATTTTCCATACAGCAGTTCACATACACTTTGTCTCATGACATTGACTATAGTTTACCACAATGCAACAGCTCCCCTCCCACTTCCTCCCAATACTTACCTCTTTCCTGTGTCCATCCCTCCATGTACTCCTGCCCCGTGAGCTGTCTCCCTGTGCATAAACAGCCCTTCTTTCTCCCATGATTGTTCTCTCCAAGAAATGTATACCTCAGGTACATGTTCAACTCTTATGTCTGTCTTTTGTTTGGCTGGAAGCCACAGGAGTGGGTTCAATTCCAGACCCAAAGGGTAGCTAGGGGCCATAGTCTCAGGGGTTCCACCAGCAAACCTGGTCCATGAGTATGGGATTTCTTTTAGAGGAAACAAAACATCCTGGAACTGGATAGTGGTGATGGTTGCCAACATTGTGAATTGTGTACTTTAAGTTGTACATTTTAACTTTAAATTATACAGACCAACTGTTCTGATCAGGGCCACAACAGATGGCCCCTGAGAGAATGGGAGAAACATGTAGAATAGAACCTCAAATTCCTGAAACAAAACAAACGTATAGTGGATGGGCTGAGACCAAGATCAAAGGACTCCCTGAGACTACTGCCCTGAGATAGTCTTCAAACCCTGAGCTGAAACGAACCCTTAAGGTCGCCCTCTAGCTAAAGAGATTGGCTGAAAAAATAATGCACATCACCCATAAGTGCTGCGCTCCTTTAAAAAATCACCTATATGATTATATATGGAAGGAAACTTTCTTTGTTGGTTACCAGGGGTGGAAGGGGACAGGAGGGAACACTGGAAAAAAAAAAAAAAAAAAACAGAATTGACCCATGTCACTTTAGTTTTGTGTATTTCACTGTACATAAATTATATTTCAATAAAATGTATTTAAAAAACAAAATCACCTATATGAGAGAGCAAGCAGTCCACGATGACTTTAAAACAAAGATGAGAATGTAAGGGAACAGGGAAACTAGATTAATGAAAACAGAGCAACCAGAATGGAAATAGCATGACTGCTCATACACTGTTAAGAACCAGTGTCAGTGAACAACTTGTGCAGAAATTGGTGAATGGGAAGCTAAACTGCTGGGTAAACCTTTACTGGAAACACTTGATATTATTATTTACTTTTTTAATATAATTATTATTATATTTTTATTTTTGTAGTGTCCCCTCCCCTCCCCTCCCACCCCTGGTAACCAACAAAGAAAGTTTCCTTCCATATATAAACCTTTTCTTGACTTTTTCACAACAATGAACTAATGCAATATTTATCCTTCTGTGGATACAATTTTTTTTTAAATTGCACTGAATCGTACATGATTAAATGATTAAAATGGGGACATTTCTATGGTATATGAACTTTATCTCAATTTTAAAAAGTGAAAAAAGAATCACTGGGAAACTGGTAAAAAAACCAAATTCCTGTACTCCACCCCCAGAGATTCCAACGAGCGGGGCCAGGGCAAGGCAGGCGGGAAGTGTATTTTTTAAATCTCTCCAAGTAATTCCAATGCACAGTCAGTTTGAGGTACCTCTGCTTTAGTCAATAAAATCCTCCAGTAAGTTCAAAATCCATTCATTCACTCAATGAACATCTATTGAAAGCCTACTGTATGTCTGGTTCTAGCAGGAACAAAAAAGAGTCCCTTCCCTCATGGTATTTACACTCTACCGGAGGAGACAGAAAACAAACATCAAATACAATTTAATTTCCAAAATCTTGCCAGGAATATCTGATTTCCTCAGCTCTTTCTTCACCCCCATATTAAAGCAAGCACTGCTCTGGGCCAGCTAACTGACAGCGTGACACAAGTCTGCTCCCTGAAGACAAGGCTCCCGGACCAGACACACAACTCAGAAAGCGAGTACCACTGGGCACTGCCACCCTGTCAGCAAGCTTACAACTCCACAGACTTCCTAAAGCATTTTTCACTGGAGAATACGTGTCCAGACTTCAGTATTAACCAGCGAGTGCTCATTGTTATATTTTTCCAAACCAAAAAGTGGTCATACACTCACCAGTTCTTGAACATACATAAGTTAAACCCTACTACCATCAAGTCAATTCCGACTCATAGTGACCCTATGGACAGAGCAGAATTGCCCCAGAGGGTTTCTGAGGCTGTCAATCTTTATGGAGCCAGACCGTCGCATCTTTCTCCTGCTGAGTGGCTGGTGGGCTCAAACCACCAGTATCTGGTTAGCAGCTGAATGCTTAGGAGCTGGTGGCTCCTTTGAACACAAACACGCTTCTGAAAAACACAGACGGGCTTACCTGGGCGAAAGCCAAATGCAGCACTGTTTCGGAAGCCAGGTACTGCAGCCGGTACTCCTTGGAGAGGGCCAGGGCCTGCAGGAGCACGGGCAGGGCGACGGTGGGGGAGGACGACCGCCAGTACAGCTCCGCCACCGAGAGCAGGACACTGCCACGAAGAGGGAAACGGTGGGTGTCAGCACGAAGGCATGCCGACGGGAGGGGCGCACGCACGCTCACCTGATCACCATCTCTGTGTTCTTCATCTTCTGACAGTGGATCAACAGCTTCTGGAACAGCTTGTGCGCCTCCGACATCTGGTTCTGCGCTTGTAGTACAACTGCTTTTCTGTGACAGGAACAAAACAGACACAGGAAGGGACGCTGATGCTTGGTAAATGTTAACCACAGCCAGTTTCAGGGCAGTGGCAGTTTTAGGAACCCACCGATTTCAACTCAGAGTGACCCCACAGGGCAGAGTGGAACAGCTCCACAGTGTTTTTTAGGCTGTGACCTTCACGGGAGGAGATGGCCAGATCTTGCTCACACAGCTGCTGGTACTTCCAAACCGTCAACCTTTTGTTAGCAGCCAAGTGCTTAATCGTTGCCCACTGGGGCTCCTTATTTCAGCGTTAGAATCTCTAATTCCTCAACTAGACTGCAAACCTCCCTCGGGAGAAAGCACTGCCCCTAACATAATTTTGGTTAAGAGAAAAAGCATATACACATGTATGAGTGTGTGTGAACGCATGTGTACACACACACACACACACACACACACCCCTCATGCATGCATGCAAAAAAGTTCTGAAGTTATAGACACCAGAATGTTAGTGACTTTCTCTGGAAGAAACGGACCTTTTTCATTTTGCTTATTTGTTTTTTCTAATTTCCTGCAGTACATAGGTAATAAATAGAAAAAAGTCTTTTCTTAAGCTAAAGTAAATCAATTCATAATGACCCATTCAAACTCTACAATGCACACGTAACAATCAAGCCATTTCAAAACGACTGCAGTCTAGGGCTGGAGCGGTCACTGGTTCTTACCTGTACACACCCTCTATGCTGTTAAGGGCTGTGATTCCTGCAACAAGTGAATCAGCCAAGTGGTATTTGCCATCGTTCATTGCTCTGTCAAACTGGATTTTCTGATCACACAGCATCCATAACTGAAATGGAAAAAATAAAACAAAACAATTAAGAAACAAATGGCAAATGTTCACCAATGGGGAGATGAAGTATTTTGGCTTGCTGACCAAATGTCCTTAGAACAATTCATTTGCATTCTTTTTCTTTTTAGATTTAGGGAAAAAAATGTTAAAATATTCTAAGCATGTAAAAAAGCATGAGAATAAAATAACAAATGCACATACATCAACCACTAACTTACTCAAATCGTATGTTCCTAAGTTTACTACAGAAACTAAGAGACACTATTGAAGTCCCCATGTTTCCTTCAAATTCCATTCCCCTCGACCAGGTTTGCTGGTCTGATGGAGCCTAGTGGAACCACTGAGACTACGGGAAGGGAGTTGTTGCATTGCAGTAAATGGTAGTCAATGTCGTGAGACAAACTGTATGTGAACTGCTGTATGGAAAGTGAATTTGCTCTGTAAACTTTCACCCAAATCACAATTTAAAAAAAAATTCCATTCCCCTCTCTCCTTTTCCACAGTAAGCACTTAACTTAGGTTCTACCATTACCACTCATGTTCTTACACTTTTACAACATACACATTTGTCCATAAGCAATACACAGTTTTTTTCTGTATGCTTTTAAACTTTGTATGAAGTGTATCATACTATGTGTATTCTTTTGACAACTTACTCTTTAACTCAACATTATTTTTCTGAGACTTATCCATGTTAATCCACATAATTCTAGTTCGTTCCCTTTCAATGCTGAGTAGTTTTTAATTATATGAATATGCAATAAGTATCTAGACAGTAAGGAACCCTGGTGGTACAATGATTAAGAACTTGGCTGCTAACTAAAAGGTCGATGGTTCAAACTCACCAACTGCTCCGTGGGAGAAAAGATTACAGTGTAGGAAACCCCACAGGCCCACTATAAGTCGGAATTGACTTGATGGCACACACCACCACATTCAGGTAGTGCCTGACTTTACGCTTTCTGAACAGTACTCCAATAAACATTCTTCTTTATCACTCCCTGGGCAAGAATTTATCTGGAATATATGGGAAGCTGTGGAAATGTTGGGCTATAGGACACAGGCATCTTCAACTTTAATCTACTGCCCATTTTTTCTTCAAAGGGGTTACATAACTTACCCTCCCCACCAGCAGCATATGATACCACCTGTTGTTCCGCATTCTTGCCACCACTTGGTATGGTCAGATTTTTTACTTTTGGCCAATCTGATGAGCATGAAACATCTCATCATTGTTTTAAGTTTTATTTCCCTGGTCACCAGTCAGGTTGAGAGTCTTGTAATTATTTACTGGCCATACATGTTTCTTCTTAGAACTGTGAATTAAATTTTTTAATTGACTCGGTTTTTTATCATCTACCTTTTTGGAAAAGCAGCTAGAACTGAAGCTAACACTATTCCATCTCATTAGCACCTCTACATCTCTTTCCCCACAGCATCCTTGGGGTTGTTTTCTGTTTTCCATTTTATTTGCTGCCACTTTCTGTCTGGGCTCTGAATTTGGATCCCAGCAGGAAGGAGAGTCCCACACGGGCCTCACATCCTGATGGCTACTCAGACCACATGCAACAAGGCAGTGACAGTGACCCAGTGAATGGCAGTCTCAGAGACCAGCATTAGGCAACTCCCAGGCCCTGGAGCTCTCAAAATTTCAAATTCCTTCCCCCACTGGAGATTCAATGTGTAAGGGAAGGAGGAAAAAGGGGGCCATATGAAACAGCCTTTTCAGCCCCCCAGGTCAGGGATGAAAATTCAGGCAGTAAGGCACAGAGGGTCTTAGACTCCTTTGAAGTTCATCATCTCTAGGTTCATGTCTCCAAAACGTGACTCAGCTTCAGAAGGAAGAGATCAGAGTTGCCCCGTAAGAGACAACAAAACTGAGACATAATTCTTGATCAACTCAAGGACCCTGATAATTTCTTATTCCCATACAGTTAGAGATAGACAGGATATTAAATTAAAACTATGAAGGCAAAAAGGAAAAAAGTACCCTGCCTTAAATCTGTTCCTCAGCTTTCCTCAATGAACTCAGCTCACACACAGCCTCGTACACTCCCCTGCTCACCACGGGTAAAGGAACCATGAGAAACCAAGGGGACATCCTGAAATATCCCCTTTGACAACAACATAGTAAAGGCAGGCTTTGCAGAAATAAACCTGACGGCGCACAGAAGGCAGGTTACCTGGGCATGCTGACTGTTGGGGGGGAATCGTTCCTTCAAATGCTTCAACACTTCTGAAGCTGCGGCAAAACAGCCCTACGGTAAAAAGGTGCCATTTGATTAGCGTGCCTGCTGAAAGCCCTGCAAGCCGACCAGGACCCTGGCTGTCCACCTGGTCTTGGGGTGACAACCTGCAAAACCTGGCAGAGATTGTGAGGCTTCAAAGGGCCATGCTTTTTAGGTTCTAACATATTTTGTTCGTTTGTGAAAAATTTTTAAAATACTTTTGTAATCCATGTTTACTCTAGAAAACACATACAAAATGTATGTGAACAAGAAGAAAAAGCTCCCCCCAGGTCTGCTCAGCATCATAGCAACATGCAATCCAGACACTCATATAAGTGACCTAGGCTGTAAGCTAAGATTATGGCCGATTCCCACTGCCCTTCTAGGGAGTGAATAGACGTGGGTTGGGGGCCT